TGTGCTGAGGGCTGGGTGCTGCCTCTCTGGAACACCTGGGGATGGGTGTCCCCTTAGCAAAGTGACACACAATAAAATAGAAATACACACAGAGGAATTTGGGGTTAGATTTGGATAAAAGCACCAGTGGAGCGCACCTGGAAATAGGGGCAGAGCTGCATAAGGGGTTCCTGGGTTTAGGAAATTCAGTATTTTGCCGTCCCTCACCATAGTAAAAGAACATCTTGGAAGTACCCATTGTGTCCATCTCGTGGGACAGCAGATCTGTCAGACCTAGGGCTCAGGCTCTGCTCTCTAAGGGTTACAGGGATGTGGAAACTGGATGTAAACAGTCCTGGGAAGGAGAAGACACTAAAACCTGGCACTCAGACTGCACCAACAAAACAGGCAGAGTTTGCATTTGCATCCTCCCTCTGTGCAGTGGGTATCATGGATGTGACACCTGCCCTGCTCTGGCTGGTGTGTGAGGGGGTTTTAGGAGCTGAGCAGCATCTGCACACCCTGTGGGTGTGTGGGCTGCACTGCTGAGTGCCAGGGCACTGGAGACTCCAGCCCTTCCCTCCTTCCCTTCCAGAGTGACCTGCAGGGGGAAGCAGGGCCAGCCCCAGTGTGTCACAGCAGTGCTCCCCATCCCTGGGCACAGCACTGGGACCAGAGGGGACTGATCCACAACACCAACAGCTGAAGAATTAATTCTCCCTGTAAATGTTGATCCTAAAGATACTCTGAGCCTTGGTCTCACTGAAGTATCCCCTGGGATTTGTGTCACCCAACTCTGGGCTGCAGCACAGTGAAAATGCTGTTTTGGTGCTGCCTGTGGCTGAGCTGTGCTCACTGCCTGTGCTCTGTGTGGAAGGAGCCATGGCCAGGGCAGCAGTTCAGTGCCTCTGGAGGTGCCCCAGTGCCACACTCTGCTTCCAATGCTCTGCAGTTCCAGCTGTGGCTCTTCCCTGTCAGTAATTCCTGCTCCTTTTCTCTCCCCAGGTGTGTCCTTGCTGCACAGAGGAGTCTCCGTTAGGTTTTCCAGGTGTTCTTACAGCAGCAGCTTCAACACCCTCAGCTTTGGGCTTTCCTAACTTATGGGTTTATAATTTTTGTTCTGTCCCTTATTTCCTCAGCTCTTCTGTCCTTTATTTTCTCTATTGATCTTGGTTATTTGTGGAGGAGAGTTCACAAAGGCAGATTTCCTTCAGCTGCAGCAGCTTGGAGGTCAAAGCAAGCTGGCTGTGGGATTTGCTGTGTTGAGGGGAATCCCATGGCACAAGTCCTTCCCAGGGCAGGCAGTGCCTGGCACCAGGGTGCCTTGGGCACTGACACTGGAGCTGCTTTCTCCAGTATTTCTGCTCCCTCCTCAGTCTTTACTTACTGGTGAAATTATGGATGGCACAAGATTTTGGGGGCTGGCTTAGTGTCTGAGCTGGGCAGCTTCATGCAGCTTTTTTGGTTTGGTTTTTCTTTTTTTATTTTTCAGGGAAAGGGGGAAGGGGATGATTTTTTTTGTTTATTTTTTTTTCAGTAGCATTTGCAAACCTGGTGCTCTTGGTGCATTCATTGTCACTATGAATTTATAACCAGGAGGATCTTCCTGGAACAATGTTACTGTGGAACATGCTCAGCTCTGGCTGAGGTGTCACTGCAGGGATGTGATGGGCTGGGATCAGGGCAGGAGAACAAAGCTGCCAGGGAAACCCAGACCTGAGGGGTCCCTGTGAGCCCTCCCTGTGCTCCTGGGGCTGGGAAACTCCAACCCCTTGCATCAAGGGGCAGGTGAGCACAGAGTGAACCACTGAACCACTTCCACTGCTGCCTTCAGCTGTGTCCCTGGCCTGGGGCACTGCAGCTCCTGGTGCTTTTTCATGGATTTGAAGTGGAGTCTTTTTGTTGCCTTTTTGTCCTCATTGCATGTCCTGGGCTCCTGCAGCAGGAACCCTTCTCCTCCAAGGCTGTTCTTGAGGGAGGGGATCACCACCCCTGCCTGGGTGTGGTGTGTGGGGCTGAACTGCCTTGGTTCCCTGCCCTGTGTGGGCCTTGATTGAGGAGAAAGGAACAAAGAAAGGAAGGAAAGTGTCTCCCTTGTCTGATGTTGCACACTCAGACTTCAGCAGCTGCACGGTCAGACCTGGCTGAGCCACCAAACCAAGCCCTGTCCTGTCCCTCCCAGTGATCTCCTCCCTGCTTTAATCCTCATTTGTTTTAAATATTCCTGTAAAGCTGCTGTGAGCCTGGAGAGCTTGGAGCATTCCTCGTGTGTCAGTTCCAGCTGTTGGGCAGGAATCCTCAGTTGCAGTGCTCTGCTGCTGCCCACTCCTGCCCTGGCCTGGCCATCCTGGGTCAGATCCTCCCTCAGCTGCAGCACAACTCTGTGGGTTTTTTTTCTCCTGAAATATTTGTTTTGGCCAAAACTGTGCAACTGACTCGGTCATTAAATGCTCATTTGTAACAAACTGAGTGAGGAGCCCTGAGCCTGCTCTGTTCTGCCTGCTTGGAGGGAGGGAAGGAAAGGATTGAAGCAAAAAACTTCCCAGTCTTGAATAAGATAGCAAAAACTTGTGAGCTGTATTCACAGTGGGTTTAGACGTGGAGCTCCACAGTCTGAAGTTACTGAGCTTCCTTCCAGCCCTGGAGAAACCTGGGGAGGCTGGGCTGAGCCTGCAGGCTCTGCAGGGCAGGAAGATGTTCCCAGTGGCTTGGAGCTGCCCCAGGAGGGTTTGTCCCACTCTGTCCTCTACACCTGGGAGTGCTGCCCAGTGCAGGACAGGCAGGGCTGTGCACAACATCCATGGGGTGATGGGGGCTGTCATTGCTGTCCCCAGAGCAGCCTCAGCCCTGGCTCTGGAGTCAGGAACAAGTTCAGGAACAAGATTGGGACAAGACCTGTGGTTCAGGGGGGACAGGATGTGCTTCCCTGGCCTCACAATCACCCCCAGCCCCACCCTGGCCCCGCTCTCCCTCCCTGCCCAGGGCTCAGTCCATGAGTTCAGTCCCTGGGCTCAGTCCCTGGATCGGACTCAGTCCCTGGGTTCAGTCCCTGGGTTCATTCCCTGGGTTCAGTCCCTGGGCTCAGTCCCTGACCTCAGTCCCCGGGCTCAGTCCCTGGGTTCAGTCCCAGGGTTCAATCCTGGGATCGGGATCAGTCCCTGGGGTTCAGTCCCTGGGCTCAGTCCCCGGGCTCAGTCCCTGGGTTCAATTCTGGGATCGGGATCAGTCCCGGGGCTCAGCCTGGTGCTGCCATCAGTGCACAAACCACGGGGAGGAACTTGGTATCCTTTTATTTATAAACAAATCAAGGTAAAATAAGTGCAGAGGAAAGCACAGGCTGCCCCTGGGGCAGGGACACACCGAGGGCCCCGCGAGCAGCGCAGGCTGCGCTACAGGACAAAAGCCATTTTATTACTTTGGGGTTTGGGGTATTTTTTCTTTTTTTTTTTTTTTTTTGCAACTTTGCCCCTTAGGGGTAAACCTGACTCAGTGCAAGAGCCTGGAGGGTTGGTCACCACCACAGGGGCCCGTCCTGCTGCTGGCCAGGCCCTGGAGGCTGCAGGGGAGGTGTGAGCTGTGGCTCCCATGCAGAGGCTGGGGACAGCAGAGGGAAGTGCTTGGAGTGGAGATTCTGTCCCAGCCCCTGGGTCACTGCAGAGGGAGCGTGCTGAGCTGTGTGCCCTGGCACCATCAGCTCTGTCCTGCCAGGCTGGTGCCAGGGATGCTCCAGGGTCTGGGCAGCTGCTGTCCGGGGGCCACTGCGGTGGCTCCACTCTGACACTCCTTGTGCAGCTGCAGAAACCTGTCTGGGACCATGGGAAGCACTCAAGTGCCATCAAAAATAAATACATTAAACTGCCTGAGACCAATAGGTGCCTCGGGAAGGGCAAAGCCCTCACAGCCCTCACAAAGCCCTCTTCTGAGAGATGCCAGGACAGGTCACCATCCTGGGATGCTCTGGCCAGACCCAAAACCCTCACACACGCTGAGCTGGGACAGACCAAAACTCTATAGAGGAGCAGCAGTGCCCCTGGGAAGACAAACCTTAGCAGCTCTGGCTAAAAACCACCAAGAGCTGCGAGTTCAACACAGGTAGAAAAATCATCTCATCGTTTGAAACAGACAACTCCTTAGTAGAAAAAAAAAAATTACAAATTAAAAAAAAAATTAAAAAAAGGCGAGCAGGATCAGCTGAGTCCTGCAGCACCCAGGCAGCCTCCAACACCAGCCCAGGCCCATCTGTGCCAGAGGCAGGCCAGGCCCAGCCCTGCTCAGCTCTCCCAGCTCTCTCCATGCCCCCACACGGCCTCCCCAGTCTGGAATAAATACAAAGGCCTGCACCCCTAGCCCAGTGTGCCCAGCTGGAGCCAGCTCAGGAGCTGGGGGCAGGCAGAGCCAGGTGGATG